GGTGGGTGAATGGTCTTGAATATGTAGAGAAATGGAGGCACCGGCTCTCAAAGAGAGAATTCTAGATGCAGCATTATGGAGTAACGGGGGAGGGGAGCCTGGGAAGCTCAAACCTCTCATTGCCCTCTGAGTCTTCAGAAATGTCACAGCTTCATAGCAGACGATGGGTTTTTCTAACTGCTCTTCTTTTTTCCAGAACTGATCTTTTAATTATTTCCATCTATTTCTTTTCATTTGTCCCCTAATTATGGAGGCTTTGGGCGCTTTATACCGTCTTCTAACGCCCTCCTCCCTTTTAGCTTTTCCTATCCCTATTCTTCATACAGTAGTTGTCCTTCCTGTACCCTTTGACAATATACAAATAATCGTCCCATCAAGAATTCTCCTTTCCATTGTTTCACACACACCCCAATCAGCTTATTTCAAATGAGGAGAATTTCACGCCTAAAGAATACTCCCCCAACTGACTTTGCCAGGATTTGGTTTCTCTTCTTTACAACATTGCAGTCTTTAGAATTTTGTGTTTTCTTTTCCCTCTAAATTGCTGTTCGTTTTTTTTTTAAGGTGAGAGCTCTCATATTAAGCCATGTGGAAGAGGATTGAGGGGGGGTGGCTTTTCAGACTGAGGTTTCATTTATCAAAGGGCTGGGGAATATTTGGCTTCTTTAATGTTCCGGGGTTTAGTTTTCAGAAGCCTAGTCACCTTAGCTGATGATAAAAAGCATTTGGGGAATTTTAATACAGAATTCTAGAATTCTGTAGAATTCACGGCAGGTTAGACACTGCTGTGGCAATCCAATAACTCATTTTTAACAGTAGGCAGAGACATGTGTCCAGAAAGCTCACCTGTGCAGGATAAAGGTAGTTGCCCCTCCAGCAGCAATTGATGACCATTAGCATAGTGTCTTTGATTATAGAAGTTATCTTTACTTACCTTGATTCATATAAATTTCTTATCCATGAATTCATTTAATTCACTTCCAAAATGTTCTGAGCTAGGGACTGCAGTAATGTTTTCCCCCCAAATTGTGTGTGCTGACACACACCCCCATGGAGAGAGCTCTAACTTATTTTTCCAAATTATACACATAGCTCTGTAACTTACTTCATTAGGAAAATGCAGCAATCATACTAGTTATCATCTCTGCATTTTTCCATCTTAGTGTATGTATTTGGGATTTGATGGCTAACATTGTATACATACTGTACATCTGCTAGCCCAATAGGTTTGTATAAAGGATCTATCATATTGGCTTGTTATTTTCAGTCATTTTCCTAATGATCATTACCAAATGTTTTATTCGTCATTTAGTTGTTGCAAACTGTACGAAGTTGTGCTTACCATGGTTTCTTTATTTCAGAAACCTTAAGTTTTGGGTTACAAATCATTCATCCGCCTAGGGTTGGCCATACTTGGAGTTATAGGTCAGAATGTCCTAACTCCTGCTTTTCAGTATAGTCACTGTCAATTTTGACTGTGTTACTGTATGTAAAATTGAGAAGAATGGTTGTTGTGATTTTTATGTGTATCACCGTAGTATCACTGTATGTTAAGTCTCATTTGCTCTTCACCAGTTTGAAGGGATAATCTTGGAGTCCTTCACATTATCAGGAGCCAGAATCTAAAGAGTCTATATACTGCGCAATTCAGATTACAGATCATTTATGAATACATAAAATATAATAATAATTATGTGCCATCAAGCCAATTTTGACGTATGGTGACCTTTTTCAGAGTTTTCCAGGTAGATAATACACTGAAGTAATTTACTATTCCCTTCATCTGAGGGTACCCTGGGACAGTGCAGCTTGCCAAAGTCTACACAGGCTGGCTCTTCTCCCTGGTGGCACTGTGGACAATTGAAATTCCAACATCTGACTCCATAGCGAGATACCTAACACACTGAGCTATCCAACCAATTATATAGCATCTATCCAATATGGAATCTTGGAGACCCACTGCTTGCTTCTGTCAGATATATGTACCCCCAAAACAGCAAAATGTGCTGCTTATATACCACCTCATATTGCTTAAAGCAGTGGTTCTTAACCTTTGTTACTCAGGTGTTTTTGAATTGACTGCAACTCCCAGAAATCCCAGCCAGCACAGTTGTTGGTGAAGGCTTCTGGGAGTTGCAGTCCAAAAACATCTGAGTAACAAAGGTTAAGAACCAGTGGCTTAAAGCACTGGTTCTTAACCTTGGGTTACTCAGGAGTTTTGGACTGCAACTCCCAGAAGCCTTCACCAACAACTGTGCTGGATGGGGTTTCTGGGAGTTGCAGTTCAAAAACATCCGAGTAACAAAGGTTAAGAACCACTGGCTTAAAGCACTCTCTGGGCGGTTTACAATTTAATTATGCAGGCTACACATTGGCCCAGCCCAACGAACAAGCTGGGCTATCAGTTTTTCAACTTTGGAAAGCTGAGTAAACCTTGAGCCAGCTGTTTGGGATTTAGCCTGGGTTGTGAGCAGAGTTTTGACTGTGGTACTGCAGTTTAACTACTCACCGAATCTTTCTGTCCTGTCTTTCCCCTTTTAGTACATTTTCCATACTTTTTCTGCCTTTAGTCTGACTGTTGTGTTTTTTTTAAATATCTTTTGGAAGTTACTCATTGTGTAGTCATTGGTACTCTAAATATAATACTGATAATTGTCTATGTTCATTTTAATTCTTAAAGATTTAAAAAATGTTGCTAAGCCAGGATTTCCCTTGCATCTCTCAGCCCTGTTCGTTCTTTATCAACAAGCAAGTGAGCCTACCTACTCTGCCTGCCTTGTAAAGTGTTTGTGGTATGGTGCAGAGTGGATATGGTTTAAATCAAGTCAGTTTAAACCACAATTTTAATCATACTGTAATTTAAATTATTACACAGACTAGATTTAAAGTACAGTATGGTTTTCTACATAAGGACTCATTCTTGCTTGTTTAATATTAATATTTATAACCATATGAGGGTTTTGTTATTAGAATAACAACTGCTCAGATTAGTTTTTCAGCTATATAAAATTACTGATTTTTGTACTATTAGAAATATATCATAGAAAGATAATTATGAAATTATTGTAAGGTGAATGTTCTCCAGTTTGATAGCTTAATCATTCGTATTTGGACAACTATTCTGCTGTACTTTATTGGAAGGAGAAAAAATCATTACCTTAATAAAAACAATTTAAATTGTATTATTTAACTATAACAATAACATAGCCTATGTATTCTTTTATTTGCTTAAACATCCGTGTTTGTTAACTAATGTGCTTAAACAAAAATTTTTTAAAAAAACTTAGGGTATCTGCTCAGTACACACATGAAAAACTTAGAATACTGTTGTCTGTAGCTCCCTCATCTTCATCTTCTTTGTTTGTCCATAATCAAGAAAATAGAAACAAGCTCTCCTGCTTAATCAGGTCCCAAATAATTTGTGAATTTAGAATGAATGACTCCAGACGTCCAGAATATTCTTTCTAAGTCAGCAGAAGAAGCTGCTGCTATTACAAGTGAAATCTAAATGCTTAAGTTACTTCCATCAGTTCACTGGCATGACTTCTTTAAAAACATAATCAGCAAACATATTGCTTGAATGGTTCTCCTTAGCTCTGAAGTTTCTTATAGTTGGCATTACAGATGGATGATTGCTGGATACCCATATGAAATATGTGAAATATTCCTCTTCCTCAGCACTTAAGGTTTGACTCTGGTACTGGATATTGAAAATATTTGTGAGAAAATGAGCTGGGGACAGTACCTGTCCCATTCATTTTTTTAATGCTTATTTCTGTCAATATTTGTGAGAAAATGAGCTGGAGACAGTACCTGTCCAATTCATTTTTTAATGCTTATAATTTCTGTCAGTGTGTAGTTCTGTTTTCAAGTGCTCATTCAGTTCCTTCCAAACTTCCAACAGCATCAGCAGTAAAACAGATATTTTTCTATATTTTGTTCAGAGGTTCAGAAATGGATTTAAGGATGCTTAACATCAACATTGCTCTCAAGTCCAATATTGAGGATTTTGGCTGTGACAGTGCCATCTTTTTTCTATTTTATTCACAAACTGTTGTCAGAATAGGCCAGTTCTTAATATACTACTCAGAAAAATTCACTACAGAATTCCATCATAACAGTTCCTCAAGGCAATATTTAAGAAATGTGATGAAATCAAAACATTTACAAAACTGAAGATCCTGCATTATCAAACATGGGCTTTTGGTCATCCATCACTGCACTTCTCATGATATTATTTCATTCGTACTATCAGGCCTGACATTTCTTTGTTGCAGTGTTTGCATTTTTCAGACATTCCTGCCTTACCTGTAGGTAGAGGAGCTTCATTAAAATATTCTCCAGAGGTCCCTATAGAATAATATGATAAACCTCCACTGAAAAGGTTTCAGTTTCATTTTTTACTGCTACCCTTTCCTCACACTTAGCTCCTTGTGCAGATCTATTTCACTCCCAACAATCTTATTCTATTCACTGAATTTTTTGAAACTTAGCAAATACGTAAGGGGATGACTCTGTACATTGATTTGCAAAGGAACAGTGGAATTAAGGCTGCATTATTTTAGACTGCATTAATAGAAGTATAGCCTCCAGATCCTGCAAGGTGCTAGCTCTCCTCTGTTCAATACTGGTTAAGCAGATCTATTTCACTCCCAACAATCTTATTCTATTCACTGAATTTTTTGAAACTTAGCAAATACGTAAGGGGATGACTCTGTACATTGATTTGCAAAGGAACAGTGGAATTAAGGCTGCATTATTTTAGACTGCATTAATAGAAGT